ACTAAACAGGTGCCCGCGAACTATTGCAGGGAACATTGTGAAGGCTGTGTTGGTACTAAACAGGTGCCCGGGGAACTATTGCAGGCAAGATTTGAAGGCTGTGTTGGTACTAAACAGGTGCCCGCGAACTATTGCAGGGAACATTGTGAAGGCTGTCATGGTACTAAACAGGTGCTCGCGAACTATTGCAGGGAACATTGTGAAGGCTGTCTTGGTACTAAACAGGTGCTCGCGAACTATTGCAGGGAACATTGTGAAGGCTGTGTTGGTACTAAACAGGTGCCTGCGAACTATTGCAGGGAACATTGTGAAGGCTGTCTTGGTACTAAACAGGTGCTCGCGAACTATTGCAGGGAACATTGTGAAGGCTGTGTTGGTACTAAACAGGTGCCTGCGAACTATTGCAGGGAACATTGTGAAGGCTGTGTTGGTACTAAACAGGTGCCCGCGAACTATTGCAGGGAAGATTTGAAGGCTGTGTTGGTACTAAACAGGTGCTCGCGAACTATTGCAGGCAAGATTTGAAGGCTGTGTTGGTACTAAACAGGTGCCCGCGAACTATTGCAGGGAAGATTTGAAGGCTGTGTTGGTACTAAACAGGTGCTCGCGAACTATTGCAGGCAAGATTTGAAGGCTGTGTTGGTACTAAACAGGTGCCCGCGAACTATTGCAGGGAACATTGTGAAGGCTGTGTTGGTACTAAACAGGTGCCCGGGAACTATTGCAGGCAAGATTTGAAGGCTGTGTTGGTACTAAACAGGTGCCCGCGAACTATTGCAGGGAACATTGTGAAGGCTGTCATGGTACTAAACAGGTGCTCGCGAACTATTGCAGGGAACATTGTGAAGGCTGTCATGGTACTAAACAGGTGCTCGCGAACTATTGCAGGGAACATTGTGAAGGCTGTCTTGGTACTAAACAGGTGCTCGCGAACTATTGCAGGGAACATTGTGAAGGCTGTGTTGGTACTAAACAGGTGCCTGCGAACTATTGCAGGGAACATTGTGAAGGCTGTCTTGGTACTAAACAGGTGCTCGCGAACTATTGCAGGGAACATTGTGAAGGCTGTGTTGGTACTAAACAGGTGCCTGCGAACTATTGCAGGGAACATTGTGAAGGCTGTGTTGGTACTAAACAGGTGCCCGCGAACTATTGCAGGGAAGATTTGAAGGCTGTGTTGGTACTAAACAGGTGCTCGCGAACTATTGCAGGGAAGATTTGAAGGCTGTGTTGGTACTAAACAGGTGCCCGCGAACTATTGCAGGGAATATTTGAAAGCCCTGTTGGTGCTAAACAGGTGCTCGCGAACTATTGCAGGGAAGATTTGAAGGCTGTGTTGGTACTAAACAGGTGCTCGCGAACTATTGCAGGGAAGATTTGAAGGCTGTGTTGTACTAAACAGGTGCTCGCGAACTATTGCAGGGAAGATTTGAAGGCTGTGTTGTACTAAACAGGTGCTCGCGAACTATTGCAGGGAAGATTTGAAGGCTGTGTTGTACTAAACAGGTGCTCGCGAACTATTGCAGGGAAGATTTGAAGGCTGTGTTGGTACTAAACAGGTGCTCGCCAACTATTGCAGGGAAGATTTGAAGGCTGTGTTGTACTAAACAGGTGCTCGCGAACTATTGCAGGGAAGATTTGAAGGCTGTGTTGGTACTAAACAGGTGCTCGCCAACTATTGCAGGGAAGATTTGAAGGCTGTGTTGGTACTAAACAGGTGCTCGCGAACTATTGCAAGAAACATTGTGAAGGCTGTGTTGGTACTAAACAGGTGCTCACGAACTATTGCAGGCAAGATTTGAAGGCTGTGTTGGTACTAAACAGGTGCTCGCAAACTAATGCAGTGAACATTGTGAAGGCTGTGTTGGTACTAAACAGGTGCCCGCGAACTATTGCAGGGAACATTGTGAAGGCTGTCATGGTACTAAACAGGTGCTCGCGAACTATTGCAGGGAACATTGTGAAGGCTGTCTTGGTACTAAACAGGTGCCCGCGAACTATTGCAGGGAACATTGTGAAGGTTGTCATGGTACTAAACAGGTGCTCGCGAACTATTGCAGGGAACATTGTGAAGGCTGTCTTGGTACTAAACAGGTGCTCGCGAACTATTGCAGGGAACATTGTGAAGGCTGTGTTGGTACTAAACAGGTGCCCGCGAACTATTGCAGGGAACATTGTGAAGGCTGTGTTGGTACTAAACAGGTGCCCGGGGAACTATTGCAGGCAAGATTTGAAGGCTGTGTTGGTACTAAACAGGTGCCCGCGAACTATTGCAGGGAACATTGTGAAGGCTGTCATGGTACTAAACAGGTGCTCGCGAACTATTGCAGGGAACATTGTGAAGGCTGTCTTGGTACTAAACAGGTGCTCGCGAACTATTGCAGGGAACATTGTGAAGGCTGTGTTGGTACTAAACAGGTGCCTGCGAACTATTGCAGGGAACATTGTGAAGGCTGTGTTGGTACTAAACAGGTGCCCGCGAACTATTGCAGGGAACATTGTGAAGGTTGTCATGGTACTAAACAGGTGCTCGCGAACTATTGCAGGGAACATTGTGAAGGCTGTCTTGGTACTAAACAGGTGCTCGCGAACTATTGCAGGGAACATTGTGAAGGCTGTGTTGGTACTAAACAGGTGCCCGCGAACTATTGCAGGGAACATTGTGAAGGCTGTGTTGGTACTAAACAGGTGCCCGGGGAACTATTGCAGGCAAGATTTGAAGGCTGTGTTGGTACTAAACAGGTGCCCGCGAACTATTGCAGGGAACATTGTGAAGGCTGTCATGGTACTAAACAGGTGCTCGCGAACTATTGCAGGGAACATTGTGAAGGCTGTCTTGGTACTAAACAGGTGCTCGCGAACTATTGCAGGGAACATTGTGAAGGCTGTGTTGGTACTAAACAGGTGCCTGCGAACTATTGCAGGGAACATTGTGAAGGCTGTGTTGGTACTAAACAGGTGCCCGCGAACTATTGCAGGGAAGATTTGAAGGCTGTGTTGGTACTAAACAGGTGCTCGCGAACTATTGCAGGCAAGATTTGAAGGCTGTGTTGGTACTAAACAGGTGCCCGCGAACTATTGCAGGGAAGATTTGAAGGCTGTGTTGGTACTAAACAGGTGCTCGCGAACTATTGCAGGCAAGATTTGAAGGCTGTGTTGGTACTAAACAGGTGCCCGCGAACTATTGCAGGGAACATTGTGAAGGCTGTGTTGGTACTAAACAGGTGCCCGGGAACTATTGCAGGCAAGATTTGAAGGCTGTGTTGGTACTAAACAGGTGCCCGCGAACTATTGCAGGGAACATTGTGAAGGCTGTCATGGTACTAAACAGGTGCTCGCGAACTATTGCAGGGAACATTGTGAAGGCTGTCATGGTACTAAACAGGTGCTCGCGAACTATTGCAGGGAACATTGTGAAGGCTGTCTTGGTACTAAACAGGTGCTCGCGAACTATTGCAGGGAACATTGTGAAGGCTGTGTTGGTACTAAACAGGTGCCTGCGAACTATTGCAGGGAACATTGTGAAGGCTGTCTTGGTACTAAACAGGTGCTCGCGAACTATTGCAGGGAACATTGTGAAGGCTGTGTTGGTACTAAACAGGTGCCTGCGAACTATTGCAGGGAACATTGTGAAGGCTGTGTTGGTACTAAACAGGTGCCCGCGAACTATTGCAGGGAAGATTTGAAGGCTGTGTTGGTACTAAACAGGTGCTCGCGAACTATTGCAGGGAAGATTTGAAGGCTGTGTTGGTACTAAACAGGTGCTCGCGAACTATTGCAGGGAACATTGTGAAGGCTGTCTTGGTACTAAACAGGTGCTCGCGAACTATTGCAGGGAACATTGTGAAGGCTGTGTTGGTACTAAACAGGTGCCCGCGAACTATTGCAGGGAACATTGTGAAGGCTGTGTTGGTACTAAACAGGTGCCCGCGAACTATTGCAGGCAAGATTTGAAGGCTGTGTTGGTACTAAACAGGTGCCCGCGAACTATTGCAGGGAACATTGTGAAGGCTGTCATGGTACTAAACAGGTGCTCGCGAACTATTGCAGGGAACATTGTGAAGGCTGTCTTGGTACTAAACAGGTGCTCGCGAACTATTGCAGGGAACATTGTGAAGGCTGTGTTGGTACTAAACAGGTGCTCGCGAACTATTGCAGGGAACATTGTGAAGGCTGTGTTGGTGCTAAACAGGTGCCCGCGAACTATTGCAGGGAAGATTTGAAGGCTGTGTTGGTACTAAACAGGTGCTCGCGAACTATTGCAGGCAAGATTTGAAGGCTGTGTTGGTACTAAACAGGTGCTCGCGAACTATTGCAGGGAAGATTGTGAAGGCTGTGATGGTACTAAACAGGTGCTCGCGAACTATTGCAGGGACGATTGTGAAGGCTGTGATGGTACTAAACAGGTGCTCGCGAACTATTGCAGGGACGATTGTGAAGGCAATGAGACCGGCAATGGGAGGGAAGACTGTGAAGGCCATGCACCGAATACTACCAATACTCACCGCTGATGGGAGGGAAGACTGTGAAGGCGACGCACGGAATACTACCAATACTCACCGCCGATGGGAGGGAAGACTGTGAAGGCCACGCACCGAATACTACCAACACTCACCGCCGATTGGAGGGAAGACTGTGAAGGCCACGCACTGTATACTACCAATACTCACCGCCGATGGGAGGGAAGACTGTGAAGGCCACGCACCGAATACTACCAACACTCACCGCGGATTGGAGAGAAGACTGTGAAGGCCACGCACTGTATACTACCAATACTCACCGCCAATGGGAGGGAAGACTGTAAAGGCCATACACCGAATACTACCAATACTCACCGCCGATGGGAGGGAAGACTGTGAAGGCCATACACCGAATACTACCAATACTCACTGACAATGGGAGGAAAGACTGTGAAGGCCATACACCGAATACTACCAATACTCACTGACAATGGGAGGAAAGAATGTGAAGGCCATGCACCGAATACTATCAATACTCACCGCCAATGGGAGGGAAGACTGTGAAGGCCATTCCCTGGAACATTGCCACCATGCCGAAGGAGGAGGTCAGGTACTCAATACCAAGATTGTCTGCCAGAACGATCGTCCGCATTGACACCGCCACAGCTGAAACAGGGGAATTAGTATGGCGGTGGATAACCAATGTGAAAACAGTGCTTACGGATTCTAGCTGGTAGGGTTATTGTGTGTAGTGCACAACACTAATTGAAGTGTATGAAAAGTGCCTTAAACTGAACTGAAGCGATGCAAAACGAGAATCGTCGACAAAAAGTGAAATCGGTACATCTTCACGTTATATATCCAACAATAAGTTAATTTCTGTTCTTACAAGAATGTTGTGAAAAGTTCCTGTGAGTATATTTCAGCTTGTCGATAGTTGGCAAATTCAATAAAAAACATTCATATTTCTATCTATTTGGGCATATCTTAGAATTTTCAATGCAGGTTATCATGGGTGAGTGTTGGTTTTGACCCACAAAAAGCCCGAAGACGCCCATACAACAGGCCTGTAAGAGTGTTGTGTGAGGTGTTGTGTCAAGATCTACCCATACACAGCCCGAAGACGCCCGCACAGCAGGCCAATATGGGTGTTATGTGTGAGGTATTGTGTCCAGATCCACCCATACACAGCCCGAAGACGCCCGCACAGCAGGCCTATATGGGTGTTATGTGTGAGGTATTGTGTCCAGATCCACCCATACACAGCCCGAAGACGCCCGCACAGCAGGCCTATATGGGTGTTATGTGTGAGGTATTGTGTCCAGATCCACCCATACACAGCCCTAAGACGCCCGCACAGCAGGCCTATATGGGTGTTATGTGTGAGGTATTGTGTCCAGATCCACCCATACACAGCCCGAAGACGCCCGCACAGCAGGCCTGTATGGGTGTTATGTGTGAGGTGTTGTGTCCTGACTCACCCATACACAGCCCGAAGACGCCCATACAGAAGGCCTATATGGGTGTTGTGTGTGAGGTATTGTGTCCAGATCCACCCATACACAGCCCGAAGACGCCCGCACAGCAGGCCTGTATTGGTGTTGTGTGAGGTGTTGTGTCTTGACTCACCCATACACAGCCCGAAGACGCCCGCACAGCAGGCCTATATGGGTGTTGTGTGTGAGGTATTGTGTCCAGATCCACCCATACACAGCCCGAAGACGCCCGCACAGCAGGCCTGTACGAGTGTTGTGTGAGGTGTTGTGTCCAGATTCACCCATACACAGCCCGAAGACGCCCATACAGCAGGCCTGTATTGATGTTGTGTGAGGTGTTGTGTCCTGACTCACCCATACACAGCCCGAAGATCTCGCACAGCAGGCCTGTATGGGTGTTGTGTGTGAGGTATATTGTTTGGACTCACCCATACACAGCCCGAAGACGCCCGCACAGCAGGCTAGGAGGGCAAAACTATTGCACCACGGCAGGACGAAGTTGACAGCTGAGGCGACGATGAGTGCGAAGATGTAGGTGACGATGCTGCGCACGTTGAAAAAGTCGGTGATGAAGCCTGCGCAGATGCGGCCGATGGTGTTAGTGATGCCGACGATGGAGATGAGGAAGGCGGCCTGGGATCTGTCCAGGCCGATGGAGACGGCGTAGTCGGGGACATACGTGAGCGGCACGGACTGCACTGGAGGAGGCAAGGACGACGGTCAGTTTGTCATAATGTAGATTAAGTCAATGTCTATACACAGAGAAAATGCAATAAAGACTACGTTTCTTATGCCTCCACCAAAGAATGTATCGCTCACTGGACATGTGGCATAACTTTGTCCGGAAAAAGAATCCCAACCCCCTACCTGAATAGTGCCTAGCCTAGTACACTAAATGACCATATGTAGAAGATGTCCCTGTATCTACCTGACCATATGTACGAGATGTGCAAGCATGTACCTGACCATATGTACAAGGTGTCCCTATACCTACCTGACCATATGTACAAGATGTGCAAGGATGCACCTGACCATATGTACAAGGTGTCCCTGTACCTACCTGACCATATGTACAAGATGTCCCTGTACCTACCTGACCATATGTACAAGATGTCCCTGTACCTACCTGACCATATGTACAAGATGTCCAGGTACCTACCTGACCATATGTACAAGATGTCCCTGTACCTACCTGACCATATGTACAAGATGTCCCTGTACCTACCTGTCCATATGTACAAGGTGTCCAGGTACCTACCTGACCATATGTACAAGGTGTCCCTGTACCTACCTGACCATATGTACAAGGTGTCCCTGTACCTACCTGACCATATGTACAAGATGTCCCTGTACGTACCTGACCATATGTACAAGATGTCCCTGTACCTACCTGACCATATGTACAAGATGTCCCTGTACCTACCTGACCATATGTACAAGGTGTCCAGGTACCTACCTGACCATATGTACAAGGTGTCCCTGTACCTACCTGACCATATGTACAAGGTGTCCCTGTACCTACCTGACCATATGTACAAGATGTCCCTGTACCTACCTGACCATATGTACAAGATGTCCCTGTACCTACCTGACCATATGTCCAAGGTGTCCCTGTACCTACCTGACCATAGGTACAAGATGTCCCTGTACCTATCTAACCATATGTACAAGTGCAAGGATGTACCTACCTGTCCACATTGTGAAGGTGATGAGGAGCAGCAGGAAGACCGGCTTCTTGAACAGTTGCGTGCCCAGTGTGTACTTGAGACGTGCAAACCAGCCCTTCTTGAAGCGGCACCTCTCGTCAATACTCTCAATCTCTTCCACTTCCATATCCTGGGTCATCTCGGCGAGAAACTGCGACAACGTCCGACAGTGCTGGAACTGCTGTAGGTGACGTATGCTGCCCGAGTAGAAGATATCCTTCCGCAGGATCGGCTTCGAGAGTCCTCGCTTGATTTTCTCCGCCTGGAAGTCGTCTAGCGAGTTCTTCATCGCGATGTTGTGGCTGCTTTTGTGTAAACGCTCTAAGGGAACAGCTACGTGCAAACGACTGATGTTCTCCGCGCTCTTCGTCATCCTTGCCGTGGTATTCTGTCTCAGGTTTGACGGATCAATGGGTAGTAAAACATCCGGCTTTGCATCACGGTACTTCTTGCTGAGGAGGGGTTTCAAACATTCGTAAATATCCTCCTTGGATTTGACGCTCTCATTCTCTTCGCTGGAACCCCCATAACCGCTGCTTCCGCCGGCGTCCTTATCTCTTTTGAACTTCTGGCGCAGCTTCTGTTCAACAAACGGCCGGAACAAGAAGCCGCATACCACACAGTTCAGAACGAAGCCGGATAAGATGAGAACCGTCCCCCTCCAGTCGTACGCATGAAGAAGTCTGTCACATATATGTGCGTATGCGAATGTTCCAACACCGGAACCACTGGTTGCTATGCCCGTTGCAATCGCACGTTTCTTATTGAAATAAAGTCCAACAATGATTATGGCCGGGAGGAAGACCATACTAAAACCAATACCTGCGGACAAAAAGACATATCGATATAACATACCTGCAGGCTAAATGACATGGTGCAAAGTTATAATAATAATAAAATATATAGGGTTATCATACCCGCAGACAATAAAGATACTGATTTATAATACCTGCTGACAATGTAAATATAGGTTTATACTACCTACGTACGATAAAGATACCTAGAGTACCTACCCCTTATAACACAATGCGTAGGGAGGCTGTTAGAACTACCCCGAATCTCACTACGTAGTGATGGTGTGAGACCTACCCCTATAACACAGTACGTGGTGATGTGAGACCTACCCCTATAACACAGTACGTTGGGATGTGAGACCTACCCCTATAACACAGTACGTGGTGATGTGAGACCTACCCCTATAACACAGTACGTGGTGATGTGAGACCTACCCCTGTAACACAGTACGTGGTGATGTGAGACCTACCCCTATAACACAGTACGTAGTGATGTGAGACCTGCCCCTATAACACAGTACATGGTGATGTGAGACCTACCCCTATAACACAGTACGTGGTGATGTGAGACCTACCCCTATAACACAGTACGTAGTGATGTGAGACATACCCCTATAACACAGTACATGGTGATGTGAGACATACCCCTATAACACAGTACGTGGTGATGTGAGACCTACCCCTATAACACAGTACGTGGTGATGTGAGACCTACCCCTATAACACAGTACTTGGTCATGTGAGACATACCCCTATAACACAGTACGTGGTGATGTGAGACCTACCCCAATAACACAGTACGTAGTGATGTGAGACATACCCCTATAACACAGTACATGGTGATGTGAGACATACCCCTATAACACAGTACTTGGTCATGTGAGACCTACCCCTATAACAGAGTACGTGGTGATGTGAGACCTACCCTTATAACACAGTACGTGATGATGTTGTGAGACCTACCCCCTATAACGCCGTACGTGATGATGAGTGTTTCTACGTTGGGGGCGAACATGCTGGTGACGAAGCCTATGGTTGATAACAGTGTGCCGAATATTGTGACCTGGCGACAGCTGAATCGCCGCAGCAGAAAACTGACCAGTGGACCTGAAAATACACAGTGTTACTACACAACACACAACACTACCTGGATACACAGTGTCATAACATGCAACACTACCTGGATACACAGTGTCATAGCACACAACACTACCTGGATACACAGTGTCATAGCACACAACACTACCTGGATACACAGTGTCACAACACACAACACTACCTGGATACACAGTGTCATTACATGCAACACTACCTGGATACACAGTGTCACAACACACAACACTACCTGGATACACAGTGTCATAACATGCAACACTACCTGGATACACAGTGTCATAGCACACAACACTACCTGGATACACAGTGTCATAGCACACAACACTACCTGGATACACAGTGTCACAACACACAACACTACCTGGATACACAGTGTCATTACATGCAACACTACCTGGATACACAGTGTCACAACACACAACACTACCTGGATACACAGTGTCATTACATGCAACACTACCTGGATACACAGTGTCACAACACACAACACTACCTGGATACACAGTGTCACAACACACAACACTACCTGGATACACAGTGTCACAACACACAACACTACCTGGATACACAGTGTCACAACACACAACACTACCTGGATACACAGTGTCATAACACACAACACAACCTGTACGATGGAAATACACAGTGTTACTACACAATGTCATAACATGCAACACTACCTGGATACACAGTGTCATTACATGCAACACTACCTGGATACACAGTGTCACAACACACAACACTACCTGGATACACAGTGTCACAACACACAACACTACCTGGATACACAGTGTCACAACACACAACACTACCTGGATACACAGTGTCACAACACACAACACTACCTGGATACACAGTGTCACAACACACAACACTACCTGGATACACAGTGTCATAACACACAACACAACCTGTACGATGGAAATACACAGTGTTACTACACAATGTCATAACATGCAACACTACCTGGATACACAATGTCATAACATGCAACAATACCTAGATACAGAACTTACACAGTGTTACTACACCTTGGATACAGGACATACACATCGTTACTACACAGTTTCATAACATGCAACGCTACCTGGATACAGAACTTACACAGTGTTACTACACCCTGGATACAGAACTCACACAGTGTTACTACACCTTGGATACAGGACATACACATCGTTACTACACAGTTTCATAACATGCAACGCTACCTGGATACAGAACTCACACAGTGTTACTACACCCTGGATACAGAACTCACACAGTGTTACTACACCTTCGATACAGAACTCACACAGTGTTACTACACCCTGGATACAGAACTTACACAGTGTTACTACACCCTGGATACAGAACTTACACAGTGTTACTACACCCTGGATACAGAACTTACACAGTGTTACTACACCCTGGATACAGAATTTAAACAGTGTGTCTACACCTTCGATACCGAACTTACACAGTGTTACTTCACCCTGGATACAGAACTTACACAGTGTTACTACACCCTGGATACAGAACTCACACAGTGTTACTACACCTTTGATACAGAACTCACACAGTGTTACTACACCCTGGATACAGAACTTACACAGTGTTACTTCACCCTGGATACAGAACTCAAACAGTGTTACTACACCCTGGATACAGAACTTACACAGTGTTACTACACCCTGGATACAGAACTTACACAGTGTTACCACACATACACACGGGATGCCTAGACTGGAAGTATATGACACAGTCTGTAGAACTATTACAAATGGGTACATACGGGTTCTACATAAAGATTCTACATATAGGTTCCACAAACGGGCTCTATATACGGGTTCTACATACGGGTACTTACCCATCAGCATGCTCATCCCAAGCAAAGTAGATCCAACCCAGGCGGTTTTAGATTTCGATTCTCCAAAGTAGTCCAAGAGTTCCAGCATTATAACTCCGAACGAAAACATAGTTCCATCCAAAATAAAGTTTATCATGAAGGAAGCAAAACACACCACCCACCCCCAGCCTCCGTCCGGTATAATGTCATCGTGGGAGTCAGGCTGGCTTGTCTCGGGGTCGGGGCTAGCTTCCGACGTAGGTTTCGCCCCGTTCTCGACTTTAGAAGCCATTCCGTTCTTCATGCTTCGTTTGATGATTATTCTCTCACTGATTCGTGCACCCGGTCCACATGGCAGGGAGATCAGCGGATGAAAACACTGGACGATGTTACATGGTACCTACAAATGACACAACAGATCTTCAAATATAGGAGTATGTTTATAAGGAATGTTTTGCATGTCTATAGAGTCTGTCACTTATTAACACGTGGATGTGCCAGGTATTGGTCCTCATACATAATCGTGACGTCACCCTGGAGCAGCATGACGTTATCGTGACGTCATTCTCAAGCCGCGTGACGTTATAGTGGCGTCACCCGAGCGCAGCATGATGTTATTTTTCATTACGTCCAGACGGAAACACGAAACCATATAATAACTCACTCCCCTCTAGAAAAATACCAGTAAATTATCCTCATACAAGGTTCCTATCCAAGTATGCATGAACCCCCGTGAAGATCAGGGTTAGAATAGATCTTCAGCATCCCATGCTTGTCCCCCGTGAAGATCCGTGTTAGAATAGGTCTTCAGCATCCCATGCTTGTCCCCCGTGAAGATCCGGGTTAGAATAGGTATTCAGCATCCAATGCTTGTCCCCCGTGAAGATCCGGGTTAGAATAGGTCTTCAGCATCCCATGCTTGTCCCCCGTGAAGATCAGGGTTTGAATAGGTCTTCAGCATCCCATGCTTGTCCCCGTGAAGATCAGGGTTAGAATAGGTCTTCAGCAACCCATGCTTGTCCCCCGTGAAGATCAGGGTTAGAATAGGTCTTCAGCAACCCATGCATGTCCCCCGTGAAGATCAGGGTGAGAATAGGTCTCCAGCAACCCATGCTTGTCCCCGTGAAGATCAGGGTTAGAATAGGTCTTCATCAACCCATATTTGTCGTAAGAGGCGACACACGGGATCGGGTGGTCAGGCTCGCTGACTTGGTTGATGCATGTCACCGTATTCCATTTGCGTGGATTGAAGCTCATGAATGTGAATCACTGAATTGTCTGGTCCAGTCTCGATTATTTACAGACTGCCGCCATATAACTGGAATATTGCTGAATGAGGCGTAAACAACAAACAAACAAAACAAACAAAACAAACGTACGTGGGAGTTGCATACACATCTATGTATGTATGAACGTCTACAACGACGAGAGCGATGTCAGTGCCGTGCATGACGCTTCGGATGCTACCTGTATAGGGGGAAAATGCACTCGACAGCACCCGTCACGCTTCAGTGCGTTTTGTGTTTCACTCCAGCCATATTAGGGGTGCCCACTTTCATCTTGAGTTCGTCTACACTGTTATCAAAACAAAGTTATGCACCAGTGCTCACAGAGTAATAAGCTGATCCCTTCGGAAACATAGTGAACCAGTCCGTGTAGGATAAGGGCTAAATTGAATATATTTATTATCCACAATGGCTCATTACAACATATCACAACATAGTCAACAAGCGATATTCCTCATATCACACATCTCAGCAAACTAAGCGGAATATGTATTCTGTGCGGCAGCAGGTGAATAAATACTACAAAATAAGTAAAGCTACGGTTATAACGAACTCAAATGGACCACTAATTTAAGTTCGTTATAACCGTAGTTCGTTACAAGCATACATGCAACATACATACGGGGATAAAAATAAGTTCGTAATATCCGTCAGTTCGTTATAAGCGTGTATCGTTATAAACGTGTTTTACTGTATCAACCTATTCTTGAAAAATCACACATAGTGTTCTGTACTGTTCAACAATTCAACGGGCGATCGGGTAGCCTAGTGGTTAAAGCGTTCACTCGTCACGCCGAAGACCCGGGTTCGATTCCCGACATGGGTACAATGTGTGAAGCCCATTTCTGGTGTCCCCCGTCGTGATATTGCTGGAATATTGCTAAAAGCGGCGTAAAACCATACTCACTCACTCAACAATTCAACCACTTAGTGAATAAAACCGTTGTATACCTTCAGTTATGATAAGTTACTAAAACCAGGTCTCCTGGTGATTAATTTACTAAGAAGGGGTAGACACGCTTCTTAATAATTAGTGTTTATTATAAACAAATGATTCACATTATTTAGTATTAAGCTACTCCAGAGCATGCGTTCTTACATTGTTCGGCTTTTAAAAAAAATTAATTGTATTATGCCACAATGACTGTAGTCGAACAGACTGTAGATATAATTAGATGAAGGCGAAAGAACGTCTTAAGCCATGCAACGTGTGCTTTGATTAACCCCCCGCCCTCAATGCGCCAGTGCGTCAAGCTTCACGCCAGTTCGTCCCCACCTCTGACGTTATCTCAACTTATATTGTAATAACCACGAACAATGTAATATCATAAAGTAACTTGTTTGTTTTTTGTTTGTTGTTTAACGCCGCACTCGAATATTCCAGCTATATGAGGGACACATACCCTTTATCCCTACCCTGTACCCATACCCTGTACCCCTACCCTGTACCCCTACCCTGTACCCCGACCCTGTGCGCTGTACCCCTACCCTGTACCCCGAACCTGTACCCCGACCCTGTGCGCTGTACCCCTACCCTGTACCCCGACCCTGTGCGCTGTACCCCTACCCTGTACCCCTACCCTGTACCCCGACCCTGTGCCCCTACCCTGTACCCCGACCCTGTGCGCTGTACCCCTACCCTGTACCCCGACCCTGTGCGCTGTACCCCTACCCTGTAACCCGACCCTGTGCGCTGTACCCCTACCCTGTACCCCTACCATGTACCCCGACCCTGTGCGCTGTACCCCTACCCTGTACCCCGACCCTGTACCCCTACCCTGTACCCCGACCCTGTGCGCTGTACCCCTACCCTGTACCCCGACCCTGTGCGCTGTACCCCTACCCTGTACCCCTACCCTGTGCGCTGTACCCCTACCCTGTACCCCGACCCTGTGCGCTGTACCCCTACCCTGTACCCCGACCCTGTGCGCTGTACCCCTACCCTGTACCCCTACCCTGTGCGCTGTACCCCTACCCTGTGCGCTGTACCCCTACCCTGTGCACTGTACCCCTGCCCCGTACCCCGACCCTGAACCGTATGTCCTTTACTTCTACCCTGTACCCTGTTTTCTACCCTGTGCGCTGTACCCCTACCCTGTGCGCTGTACCCCTACCCTGTGCGCTGTACTCCTACCCTGTGCGCTGTAACCCTACCTTGTACCCCTACGCTGTGCGCTGTACCCCTACCCTGTGCGCTGTACCCCTACCCAGTGCGCTGTACCCCTACCCTGTGCGCTGTAACCCTACCTTGTACCCCTACCCTGTGCGCTGTACCCCTACCCTGTGCGCTGTACCCCTACCCTGTACCCCTACGCTGTGCGCTGTAACCCTACCTTGTACCCCTACCCTGTGCGCTGTACCCCTACCCTGTACCCCTACCCTGTGCGCTGTAATCCTACCTTGTACCCAGACCCTGTACCGTGTGTCCCTACCCTGTACCCTTTATCCCTACCCATACCCTGTACCCTGTGTCCTTTGACACTGGGTGCAAAAGTGACTAAGTTTGTGGTATCAGGGGCGCACAGTACACCAAAGCACAAACAGACAGTTGTCATCTGAACAACCCATGAATCACTGTGTTCAATATGTGCTATAAACAAGCAATCAAACCGCTATTTAGTGTCATTCAGCTAAACACACGGTTCACTGGACGAACAACGATGTTCCAGTTTGACGACATCAGCAGTCGCTGTATACGCTGACGTCATGATAAAACCCCATTATGTACTCGGGCTCAATCCGGACAAAACCCGTCTGCGCTGGAAAATGTCACCGACAACCAGTTGCATCCGCGCTTCTCATTGTGAGCAACGATAAATTACATTCACTGCTACCATCAACAAGCAATTGCCATCTCTTTTTCTAAATAATTACCGACTTATACTACGTCAGAAATGGAAACGACTTCATGCATGCTGTGTATGCGATAGAGCTTCTAACATGCCCCTCTGTCATTATAACTGAGTTGGGGACACGGGATTCGCTGTGCAGAGTTGCGTCCCTTTGGCACACCAGAAACCTATGATTGTGGGTTCGAATCCCGGTTCGCCCCGATTATGTTTCCAGGTTTGTCAGCACCATACCCGTGCTCGTTTGTTTCATTGAAGTGGTAAACGTCTGAGACCTGTATCACTTCGGGCTTTCCTCCCATATTAAGCTGACACGCCGCGATATAACTGGAATGCTGTTAAAAGCGGCGTTAAACCCAACTCACTCACTCACTCACTTACTTTAACAGTGTCATATCCTTGTTTCACGCCGCTTTTACCACGGCGGGGGACACCAGAAATGGGCTTCACACATTGCACCCATGTCAGGAATCGAACCCGGGTCGTCGGCGTGACGAGCGAACGCTTTAACCACTAGGCTACCCGACCGCCCCCGTGCCCATAGAGTTGTCACTCACCCTCATAAAAGTTGGAATCCATCTTTCACTTTATGAAATACAACCATTGTCCTTTTTCAACTGTGCAAAATTAATTACTAAAATTTAAAAAAAAATTGTATTTTAACTGACTTACAAACACCTTCCATCCGTCAAATCTCCCATCCTTTCAGTCACTATCGCAACTCAACGAAGGAGGCACACGATATAGTGACGTCAAAGATGACGTCATAGGTCAATACTAGTCGTAATACCCAGTCAAGGACCCTACAGTCGACATGTGTGTAGTGATACATTCAGTGAACACGTGAATATGCTGACTATGGAAAACTCGTAATCAGTAGCACCGGAGTCAGGTCAAGGGTCAAGGTTAGTGGTCACAGGGGTTAGATGGGTAGGAGATATATATGGATACACGAGGGTATTGTGAAGAAAACACGCTGATAACGGTCAGGGGTCAAACTACTGCATTACATGTACTAGCCATGATACAAACATAATGCTTAAGAAATTGCTGTTTTTATATAGACTTTATCGATTTGGGCCACATCTGGCCCAGTGGACTTAGATACCGTAAATCGTTGGCACACTCGTAACTCGTAACCATACTTGAAAAACGACTTACGACAGTCGTAGCTCAAAGACAAGCGTAACTACCATACTTTAATATAGACTTACGACAGTCGTAGCTCTAAGACGATCGTAACTCCCATACTTTAATATAGACTGACGACAGTCGTAGCTCCAAGACGATCGTAACTCCCATACTTTAATATAGACTTACGAAAGTCGTAGCTCTAAGACGATCGTAACTCCCATACTTTAATATAGACTTACGACAGTCGTAGCTCTAAGACGAGCGTAACTCCCATACTTTAATATAGACTTACGACAGTCGTAGCTCTAAGACGATCGTAACTCCCATACTTTAATATAGACTTACGATAGTCGTAGCTCCAAGACGATCGTAACTCCCATACTTTAATATAGACTTACGACAGTCGTAGCTCTAAGACGATCGTAACTCCCATACTTTAATATAGACTTACGATAGTCGTAGCTCTAAGACGAGCGTAGCTCCCATACTTTAATATAGACTTACGATAGTCGTAGCTCCAAGACGATCGTAACTCCCATACTTTAATATAGACTTACGACAGCCGTAGCTCTAAGACGATCGTAACTCCCATACTTTAATATAGACTTACGATAGTCGTAGCTCCAAGACGATCGTAACTCCCATACTTTAATATAGACTTACGACAGTCGTAGCTCTAAGACGAGTGTAACTCCCATACTTTAATATAGACTTACGACAGTCGTAGCTCCAAGACGATCGTAACTCCCATACTTTAATTTAGACTTACGACAGTCGTAGCTCCAAGACGATCGTAACTCCCATACTTTAATATAGACTTACGATAGTCGTAGCTCCAAGACGATCGTAACTCCCATACTTTAATATAGACTTACGACAGTCGTAGCTCCAAGACGATCGTAACCCCCCTACTTTAATATAGACTTACGACAGTCGTAGCTCTAAGACGATCGTAACTCCCATACTTTAATATAGACTTACGACAGTCGTAGCTCTAAGACGATCGTAACCCCCATACTTTAATATAGACTTACGACAGTCGTAGCTCCAAGACGATCGTAACTCCAATACTTTAATATAGACTTACGATAGTCGTAGCTCCAAGACGATCGTAACTCCCATACTTTAATATAGACTTACGACAGTCGTAGCTCCAAGACGATCGTAACCCCCATACTTTAATATAGACTTACGACAGTCGTAGCTCTAAGACGATCGTAACTCCCATACTTTAATATAGACTTACGACAGTCGTAGCTCTAAGACGATCGTAACCCCAATACTTTAATATAGACTTACGACAGTCGTAGCTCCAAGACGATCGTAACCCCCATACTTTAATATAGACTTACGACAGTCGTAGCTCCAAAACGATCGTAACTCCCATACTTTAATATAGACTTACGACAATCGTAGCTCCAAGACGATCGTAACTCCCATACTTTAATATAGACTTACGACAGTCGTAGCTCCAAGACGATCGTAACCCCCATACTTTAATATAGACTTACGACAGTCGTAGCTCCAAAACGATCGTAACTCCCATACTTTAATATAGACTTACGACAATCGTAGCTCCAAGACGATCGTAACTCCCATTCTTTAATAATAGACTTACGACAGTCGTAGCTCTAAGACGATCGTAACTCCCATACTTTAATATAGACTTACGCCAGTCGTAGCTCTAAGACGATCGTAACTCCCATACTTTAATATAGACTTACGACAGTCGTAGCTCTAAGACGATCGTAACTCCCAACTTAGGGTGCAACACGGTGAGGTGAGGTGAGGTGAGGTGGTGAGGTGAGGTTAAATGGGGCTTAACGCCGTTCTCAAGATTATTGCATTTATATATTGATGTGCATGCACGTGTGTCCGTGTGTGTATGGCTGCTTGAACTAGTCCGGACTAATGCTGATTTATAGTGCTAGCAAACTGAGATACCATGCCGCAGTTTAACATGAATGCCCCACTCAGACACAGCATACTGACTGTGGTCCGCTGGTCTGACACGCCGTGACTTTCACTCGAATCAGCGTTACTCCCACGTGACTGTGAGGCCCAAGGTGCTGCCTCTGAGACACCGCTTTAAGATGTGAAGATGTATATCATGTGCAGGTATTAGGGATGAATGTGAAAAATAAAATCTTAATACGGACAGAGTACACAGATGACTAGTACTTTGTATACGACAGAGCTCGAGAAAAGCTGTGTGTTTGCATAAAATACGCAAAATAAATCTCAAAACCATCCCCATCACCGAATTCATTTTGAGTTGCTGAAAAAGTTTTAAGACCCAGTAGAATATCAACACTGCGTAATTAACCAAAGTAGTTATTTTCCACTGGCAAAGGTGTATTTCTTTACAAATCTTTATGTACTGATCGAATGCAGGCATTACGTATATCAGAACTCGTATTCGAATACTGCCCCGCTTATTGAAACAGATCGTACACGCATTTAGAAGTTACCTGAAGCAACTCATTAAACAGAATTACTGGTATTTATCTGCTGTAAAAATACATTGGCTACCCAGAGAAAACTACCAATACCCAAAGTGAACGAATGCATGTGAGGAAATACTCAATAGCCCAAGACCCGTGAAGATCCGGGGTAGAATAGATCTTCAGCAACCCATGCTTTCCAAAAAGGCGACTATGCTTGTCGTAAGAGGCGACAAACGAGATTGGGTGGTCAGGCTCGCTGACTTGGTTGATACTTGTCATCGACCCCAATTGCGTGGATCGATGCTCATGATATCAATCACTGGCTTGTCTGGTGCAGACTCGGTTAATTCACAGACCGCCGTCACATAGCTGGAATACTGCTGAGTGATGCGTTAAACAACAGACTAACAATAAGTCAAACAATGATCTAGAGTCCTGCTCTACGCGTATCCAATACGGACGAATACTGTTTGGACAACTCAGAAGCAGCGTCAGTCCCGACGGCGTCCGGATAACAAGTGTCCGGAATAACGAAACATTCGCACGAATAATGCTCTTTGGTTGTGAAAACGTTATAAAAAAATCATCGTTTTTAAGGTTGTCATGGCAAACGAAATCCATGCCAACAGGATCCGGATTTGGATTAACGGGATCCGGACTAATTTGATTTGGATTAATGGGATCCGTCCTGACGAAATAAGGACTAGAGGGATTTGGATTAACGGGAAATGGGCATTAGGATCCGGACTAGCGAGATTCGGATTAACGGGAAATGAGCACCACGATCCGGGCTAGTGGGATTTGGATTAACGGGATCCTTCCGGACTTGTTGGATTTGGATTAACGGGATCCTTCCGGACTTGTTGGATTTGGATTAACGGGATCCTTCCGGACTTGTTGGATTTGGATTAACGGGATCCTTCCGGACTTGTTGGATTGACAGGATCCTTCCGGACTTGTTGGATTTGGATTAACGGGAGCCGTTTGTGGCAGGACCAGGACTAGTGGGATTTGGATAAACGGGAAAGGAGCATCATGATCCGTCCAGCGAGATTGGATTTACGGGACCCGTGCGGACTGACGGGATTTGGATTAACGGGAAATGAGCACCATGATCCGGGCTACCAGGGTTTGGATTAACGGGATCCTCCCGGACTAGTGGGATTTGGATTAACAGTAGCCTTCCGGACTAGTGGGATTTGGATTAACAGTAGCATTCCGGACTAGTGGGATTTGGATTAACAGTATCCTTCCGGACTAGTGGGATGTTGATTAACGGGAAATGAGCATCATGATCCGGGCTAGCGGGATTTGGATTAACGGGATCCTTCCGGACTAGTGGGATTTGGATTAACGGGAAATGAGCACCATGATCCAGACAAGTGGAATTCGTATTAATGGGATCCGTCCTGACTAGTGGGATTTATATAATTGTGAAAAGGGCATTCGAATCCAGACTAGAGGGATTCAGATTAACGGAATCGGTCCTGACGGGAGGGTCATTTATGTGTGCCGGGATCCTTAGATCGTGGGATCGAATCCACATACAAACAGACATACACACACCTTCATTTGTAAGCATCACATGCTCGTGAGTTTCACAAACACAGTGTCCGTCACACATCAACAGGACTCACAGTGAAAAACTCACAAGTATTTCGAAGCGGCATAAAACACAAGTCTCTCAATTGGCAAAAACTGGTTTGGCTGGGTTCTGTCTATTATAAGATTATGTAAGTGGTGTTCCAATGAGTGAGGAAAAGCAAATAAGAGATATATTTCTATATATAATATGAGTGGAAATGTTAAAACGCTTTAATTAATATTCAAGCATTATCCTAATACAGTAAAGTACGGTTATAACGAACTCAAGGGGACTACTAATTATAGTTCGTTATAACCGTAGTTCGTTATAAGCATATATACAGCATAACTACAGCAAATAGTCGGGATCAAAAAAGGAAGTTCGTTATATCCGTCAGTTCGTTAAAAGCGTGTTCGTTATAACCGTAGTTTACTGTAGTGTACACCGGGAATAGGTGTCATGCATTATATTTACAGGGGGACTCGAACCCGGATTGGATTGAGGAGCGAACGCTTTAACAACGGGTTATTTAACATTTCCAGAAGTTTAAGATACAAGAAAAACTCACGGACAGCACGGCATTTCTACACAGACTAAGAAAGCGTGGACCTCGGCGACGACGCTCTTCTATAATGGTCGGCCCAACCACACCAACGACTACAACGACAACGCAAAAATCAAGACCAGAATTATCGAGTTTGCGGTGGAATGTCGCTACTATGTACGCAGTAGTCGACAATATCAACACGTGTGCTCAGTCAGGGCCGCGTTCCATCAGCCCTGAATAGAATCACGTCTTGCCCTGCAGTGGTGGTGATGTCAGACTACAGACTTAGTGCTGCCACATGGCGAGAACTGGGTCACCAGGTCACACACATATGCAGCCATATGTCTCGAGTGAGTGAGTGAAATCCGCTGACATCTACTCTTATTAAATCATATCTTGGCGCTTGATACCTTGACACTAAGACACTAAGACACTAGGCCACTAGATCACGTCAGAACGACCTTTCATCCGACCAATCAAAGCGTCGCCTTCGAGCTCGCGAATTTGACGGTCCGAAACATTCGTGACCAACTCGTGTTATTCCGGGACAAGCCGAATAGCGACTTGTGCCCCTCTCATGGCCATTTTGTGCGACCGGGTTCCGTCTTAGCGCAAACGGGCATACCTAAAACCATTGTCAACTCGTTGCGTAATGGTTCACATATATTTCCCCATATATTATATATATTTCAGATGCAATTTAAAGCACATCGGGACGTGCGGAATTATACAGTATGATTGAACACATTTAACTGTGTCTTGGGTATATTTTTAGATGCAGGACAAATGTAAAATCAAAAATTATTTCTGAGGGATTCTTTGATGAAGAACTAGAAATCATACGCGCATTCTGATTGGTTTCTCGTATTTTCGTACATAACATTCATCGATAGGGGGACGAGTCTTCTTGCAGGTTACGGAAAGGGGCGAGTGGTGACGAATGGGTCCGAAAGTATTTCCTATTCTTGCAACCTCGAAAACGTCAACACGGGGCATTCCGAATGACAGTTACGGACTGTACGACAGATTCCGAATGCTAGACATCGTCTATCTTTCTCCCTAATGGTAACTACTGCCATTCAATCTCGGCGATCTATTAGACATTCCAGAATTTTCTTTTGTTCAGTTTTCAAATATTGAATCGATAACTTTGTCAAAATATTTTTCCAAGCGTAGTCTGGAATGGAAGTCGCCATTTTGAAACTAGTGTCGTAAAGCTCACGAGAAAGCTGTTTTCTGATTGGCTCGTGATGATTTCCTGGAAGTCATTTCATTGGTCGGTGAAAATTGGCGAAAAGTCAATCTGTCGCGATCGGTAATGGGATGTCCTCAGATCTTTGGTGTGACGGTAGCGAGCACTGAGGTTTGAGTTTAATGAGATTGATTGACACACATTTTAACAGCATCTTAGCGACGACGTTCATCACCTGGTGACAGCCACGGACACAAGTAATATGCTGACAGTCCGAGGATCATTATCAAACCCACGATAATCAGATACTGGCACGGCTAATATAGTGCGGCCGTTTCGTGACAAATATAGGGTCAGTTGTGCATTTTGTGAAACTTGGCACAGTTGTAGGTAATAGCATTCGAAATATTTTCAGATATGGGGCCAGCCAAAAAATCCAATATGATAACGTTATTTATTTTTCAGATGTAGTGTTGGGTAAATACTTTTTTCATGATATAGTTAGGTTGCGCGTCAAGTTCATACAAGATGTACTAGAATTTCATTTCTCCATGGCGGCTATTTTGGGTTTGGCGGCTACATTGGATTTTTTTGGGTTGACCCATATCTGAAAATAGTTGGAATGTCATTACCCGTAACTGTGCAAAATTTCGTGCTTTTTTTCATGAATTGCACAAGTTTTCACGAAACGGGTGCACAGTAGAGGACGCACCGCGATTTGCGGATCCTGGCCACTTTTTTAATGATTCTTCTTTTAATTTGATTACCGTTTTTCCTCTAAAAGATGCAGGGTCAAGTCAAAATTTGACAAATAAAGGTCGGGTCTCACACCGGGTTGAATAAATCAATACATAAATATTGCCCATAGCTCCATACCAAAATACGTTAAACGATGGTACTTGTTGTTACCCTGCCTGGCGCTCGGCATTGAGGGACGAAAACATGGACTGGTCGGCTCGGTGTCTAGTATACTGTGTCTGAGTGGGGTATTCATGTTAATCCGCGGCATGGTATCTCAGTGTGCTAGCACTATAAGTCGGCATCAGTCCTGACTAGTACAAGCAGCCACACACACACACACACACACACACACACACACACACGTGCACGCACGTCGCTATATAAGGGGAATACTCTTGAACACGACGTTAAACCCCATTTTACCCCACCTAACAATAACTCCATAAAAGTCACCGGTCTCAAACATAAAAGAATGGCGTGAAACAGCAAAATATCTACAAAGAATTTCCATTGCGCGAAATGGTTCCTGTAACTGGTAAATATGTACGTACATTGTATTTGACGGTTTTATGATATATCAAGCCCTTATCAATATACCATTGTCTTCTAGCACATATACTTATTTTGACTCAATACAAGACCTGCCTATCGTTAACCTAATATGGCCAGCGCCTAATATGGTCAAGGTCTACATGGCAACGGGGAATTTACTGGAATACTGGCTGAAATTTTCCATGGACAGTTTACATCTCGATAAGATTACCCTGGGTCACCAGGCGCCCGTCAGTCAATACCCGTACACAACTCCAGCAATGTATACGATGGCCTCTAACCATTACAGCATCGAAACACGGGCTGAAGCATTAGTTGAGGTAGATATACGCTCAAACAGTGAACCAAATGCTTTTAGAAAGCGGTCAAATGTAACAAATGTTGTACTTGGGATAACACGTTCTTAGAAAAGTACAGACTCTGGCACTTTCTGAGATTGGGTCCCATCTGAATGAACACACACTGTCGAGTAAGGCACCTAATCGCCAGCACACAAAGTCAGCGATCTCGCCCACTCAGCCATCCAGTAGTATTTTTTAACAGATAGATATTTATCCCACTTTTTGAGTAAGCAGACAAAGAAAACCTATTTGAGCGACTTGAATCACCATTCTCCGACTGTCAGTTCGCAGTTCGCTTTAAATATTTGAACGGCGTGAGACAATTAAGCTCCGTTATTCTGTGTACCCCACACCTTAAACAAAGATGGTTGATGACCCCTCGTGCAGACACAGCGTCTTGCGGTGCAGAATAAACCTTCTAACCAATGCCTCTCAACAAAACAACCGACAATAAACACACTGGTTTCTGAGGTTCATAATCAACTCAAAAACAAACAACAATTTACACTTTACATTCTTAATAACATGATTGACGACCCACTAGACTGGGACAGCACAGAATATTTATACTTCACAAATGGGATTGACTTTCATGTTGTCTAAAGCTGATAACGACGTGGTAACTTAACACGTCTACTGTGTCTGGTGAAGAGATACTGTAATGGATTTCTGATATGCCAAAAGGGGCACGGGTGGCCCAGTCGTTTAAGGCGCCACGATTCGCTGTGCAGAGTTGCGTCCCTTGGGCACGCCAGAAACCTATGATTGTGGGTTCGAATCCCGGTTCGCCCCGATTATGTTTCTAGGTTTGTCAGCACCATACCCGTGCTCGTGGGTTTCACCGAAGTGGTAAACGTCTGAGACCTGCATCACTTCGGGCTTTCCTCCCACATTAAGCTGACACGCCGCGATATGACTGGAATACTGTTAAAACGCGGCGTTAAACCCAACTCACTCACTGATATGCCAAAAGATCATTCCATCCAATGGGTGAAGGATTTTATAAGCTTTGTGGAACTTCCGACGCGATGTGCCAGGGGGTTATGGTTAGGGTAGGTCCCCAGGAGTTATTGGAACATACTGATTGCCGTACGAGACGACTGACTGAACTGATCTGGTTGATGGACTTGGTGACAGGGTAGATTGCGCGCCATTGTATTTTCAAGCATGGGACGTGGCTAATAACATCACTCTCTGCCCAGACACGATTATTTCCACCCGCCTCCGGAATATTGCTGACTTCGGCGTTAAACATTAAACAAACAAAATACTATAGAACTACATTACCAAGACAGAGCCCCGTCACTGTCGACGCACCTTGTAAGCTGAGTTAAGTTTTAGAAACAATATTTGATACATCCCTCTCAAAGGATTAGCAGACCGTGGGTATTACGTCCTAGCACGGCGGTAGGTCACTGTGCTGCTGCTAGAGATTGAATTGAAGACTGGTTTTATCGGCACAATGCGCCAATCCTATAACGCATTAACAATTAATGAACGACTCCGAGAAAACACCCGGACTCGCCTTGTGGCTTATCAAAACATCTCGCTTCTAGCGTCAGTTAACCGTTTATTCACAGAAAATGTCTGTGACAACGATGATAGAATGTTTCTGGGGCGTGATTGAAAAAAAGAAATACCTTGTTGCATCATCCAGTGGTATAAAGTGGTAATGTTTTTTGGGAAGGACTCGTGCCGCGATAACATCCCATGCGAGCATATGTCATGGGCGGATACAGAGAAGGGGTGAGCGGGGGGGGGGGGGGGGGGGGATGGTGGTGCGGGGTGCGCATCCCCCCCTTTTTATTGCGAAAAAATCTTTATTTCTGTATAAATTACCACCAAAGACAATAAATAGATCTTAATTGTGCACCCCCCCTTTTAAAAAAAGCTGTATCCGCCCATGATATATGATGTAAAAAATGATATCTCACGCTCTCACACACCCCTAGAAAAACTCACAGAACTTAAAGAAATTGTTCAACCTCATTAAAAGTAATATTAAAAAGATAGGGGCGTATACAAAATTATTTCTGATTTGTTCGATTCCAGTTTTGTAGTAACCTTACCTTGACGCTAGGGTTCTCACGTTATCCTCTCCTGCAGCCTGACACTATCTGAGCAGACGACACTGCTCACACAGTCCTACCTCCACGTGCTGCACTATATATAGCCAATCAGCTGTTAGCTTGTGGCCGGTCAAGGAACGGCCGGCCGTATTGGCCTATGGACGACAGCTGATACCAGCCTGTCATGCATATTCCTATATCGGCTATGATCTGGTCTGTCTGTATACATGGCTTTGGCTTTTACAGTTAAATTGCCGTGGTACAAAATCTAGCTGGTTATTCAACAATGACTGAAGAACATTAAAATGCAGTCCACTATGAAATCATACGTGCACAGTAAAAGTTGTTTTGTAGTTGCAGTCTACTGTGAATAATCATACGCGCGTAGTGAATGTTTTTTTAAAAATCTCCAAGGCATGTGTATTCGCCTACGACGTCGCTACACTCCAGTTGTTTCCTCGTTTCACCAAATCTGAAAATTGTGACGTCGGTTGCTTGTTACCACATGTACGGCCAGGCCCTCGACAACGCGGTCGAAGCGCTTCGACAACCGTAACTTCCATACTTAAACATCGGCTTACAACAGTCATTGCGCTAAGACGATCGTAACTTCCATACTTAAACATCGGCTTACAACAGTCATTGCGCTAAGACGATCGTAACTTCCATACTTAAACATCGGCTTACAACAGTCATTGCGCTAAGACAATCGTAACTCCCATACTTAAACATCGGCTTACAACAGTCATTGCGCTAAGACGATCTTGATTTCCATACTTAAACATTGGCTTACAACAGTCATTGCGCTAAGACGATCGAAACTTCCATACTTAAACATCGGCTTACAACAGTCATTGCGCTAAGATGATCTTGATTTCCATACTTAAACATCGGCTTACAACAGTCATTGCGCTAAGACGATCGTAACTTCCATACTTAAACATCGGCTTACAACAGTCATTGCGCTAAGACGATCGAAACTTCCATACTTAAACATCGGCTTACAACAGTCATTGCGCTAAGACGATCGTAACTTCCATACCTAAACATCGGCTTACAACAGTCATTGCGCTATGACTATTGTAACTTCCATACTTAAACATTGGCTTACAACGGTCATTGCGCTAAGACGATCGTAACTTCCATACTTAAACATCGGCTTACAACAGTCATTGCGCTAAGACGATCGTGATTTCCATACTTAAACATCGGCTTACAACAGTCATTGCGCTAAGACGAGCGTAACTTCCATACGTTGACAGACTTACGACACTCGTAGCTCTAAGACGATCGTAACTTCAATACTTTGACAGACTTACGTCAGTCATAGCTCTAAGACGATCGTAACTTTAATACTTTGACAGGCTTACGGCAGTCATAGCTCTAAGACGATCGTAACTTCAATACTTTGACAGACTTACGGCAGTCATAGCTCTAAGACGATCGTAACTTCAATACTTTGACAGACTTACGTCAGTCATAGCTCTAAGACGATCGTAACTTTACTACTTTGACAGACTTACGGCAGTCATAGCTCTAAGACGATCGTAACTTCAATACTTTGACAGACTTACGGCAGTCATAGCTCTAAGACGATCGTAACTTCAATACTTTGACAGACTTACGGCAGTCATAGCTCTAAGACGATCGTAACTTCCATACTTAAACATCGGCTTACAACAGTCATTGCGCTAAGACGAGCGTAACTTCCATACGTTGACAGACTTACGACACTCGTAGCTCTAAGACGATGGTAACTTCAATACTTTGACAGACTTACGGCAGTCATTGCTCTAAGACGATGGTAACTTCAATACTTTGACAGACTTACGGCAGTCATTGCTCTAAGACGATCGTAACTTCAATACTTTGACAGACTTACGGCAGTCATTGCTCTAAGACGATCGTAACTTCAATACTTTGACAGACTTACGGCAGTCGTAGTTCTAAGACGATCGTAACCCCCCTACTTGAACATAGACTTACAACGGTCGTAGCGCTAAGACGATCCTACTCCCATACTTTCATAACATGGACTTACGACGGTCGTAGCGCTAAGACGATCTTACTCCCATACTTTCATAACATGGACTTACGACAGTCGTAGAGCTAAGACGATCATATCTCCCCTACTTGAACATAAACTTACGGACAGTAGAAGCGCTACGACCCCTTTGTGAAACAGGGCACAGGATCTGGTGATGGTGAACATCCAAAGTGCGGCCGCCGCTACCGGGTCCGATGTAGGATCTCTCTTACATCTCTGGTGTAGGATCACACTCACATCTCTGGCGTAGGATCTCTCTCACATCTCTTGTGTAGGATCTCTCTCACGTGTCCGGTGTAGGATCTCTCTCGCATTCCCGGTGTAGGATCTCTCTTATATCTCTGGTGTATCACCTCTCTTACATCTCTGGTGTAGGATCTCTCTCACATCTCCGGCGTAGGATCTCTCTCGCATTTCCGGTGTAGGATCTCTCTCGCATCTCTGGTGTAGGATCTCTTACATCTGTGGTGAAGGATCTCTCTTACATCTCTGTGTAGGATCTCTCTCGCATTTCCGGTGTAGGATCTCTCTCGCATCTCTAGTGTGGGATCTATCTCGCATCTCTGGTGTAGGATCTCTCTCGCATTTCCGGTGTAGGATCTCTCTCGCATCTCTGGTGTAGGATCTCTTACATCTGTGGTGAAGGATCTCTCTTACATCTCTGTGTAGGATCTCTCTCGCATTTCCGGTGTAGGATCTCTCTCGCATCTATGGTGTAGGATCTCTTACATCTGTGGTGAAGGATCTCTCTTACATCTCTGTGTAGGATCTCTCTCGCATTTCCGGTGTAGGATCTCTCTCGCATCTCTGGTGAAGGATCTCTCTTACATCTCTGTGTAGGATCTCTCACATCTGTGGTGAAGGATCTCTCTTACATCTCTGTGTAGGATCTCTCACATCTGTGGTGTAGGATCTCTCTCGCATCTCTAGTGTGGGATCTATCTCGCATCTCTGGTGAAGGATCTCTTTTCGCACTTCCGGTGTAGGATCTCTCTCGCATTTCCGGAGTAGGGTCTCTCTCACATATCCGATGTAGGATGTCTGACACATCTTTAGTGTAGGATCCCGCCTGTGATGTAGGATCTCTGACAGCCCCCCCCCCCCCCCACCCACACACACACCCACCCACCCACACACACACACACCCACCCCACCCCCCACCCCTCCCGAGGGACAGTGCTGGGTATGTTGTATTCAAACAGTTGTGTGGCTTCTGTGTGTCAGGAGTCACTTAAGAGTACACTCTAGAGGTTGATTGAACAGTTATCAACGGCCTACATTTTTTAACCCCAACCGGCAGGTCAAACGTGCTTTCTGACCTTATCTGATACGATTCAGATTTTTTTTATTGCGTATCAGTCCTATTGTGTTGATTTGTGTTATTGTCACTCACTCACTCTTTCTCTTTGATTATCAGTTTTTGATGATGTCATGTAAATAGCTGGGACGCCACATCCCACAAGCCACAGCCCAGCCTACCCCACCCCACCCCATCCCACCCCACACCGCCCTCCCTCCTCTGAGATAATTTGCGGCTGGAGGGATATCAGTTTGTTCCCTTATCAATCTGTACATCCCTTATCAACGCCACCCTTGACTTGCGAGGTCGTAGGGACGGGCAGGACCAGCCGACTTACTGATATTTGTTCCGTGGCTGAGTCCTACTTCTGATAGGTCACCCAACTGGTCACTCCGGATGTCGTCGACCCCAGTGACGTCACAGGGTATTCTGGGCCACCCCCTTCTCCACATTGTTTCTCCACAATGAGGTCACAGCTGGAGGGAGTTGAAATGTGGTCAGGATAAGGATTAGTGCACTTATACAGCGTGGTATGTGTGTCTGAAATTGTGTGTGTCTGTATGTGTGTGTGTGTGTGTGTGTGTGTATGTATGTATGTGTGTCTGTTTGTGTGTGTGTGTGTATGTATGTGTGTGTCTGTATGTATGTGTCTGTATGTGTGTCTGTATGTGTGTATATGTGTGTGTCTGTATGTGTCTGTATGTGTGTCTGTATGTATGTGTCTGTATGTGTGTGTGTATGTGTGTGTGTATGTGTGTGTCTGTATGTATGTGTCTGTATGTGCGTCTGTATGTGTGTCTGTATGTATGTGTGTGTATCTGTGTCTGTATGTGTGTGTATGTGTGTCTGTATGTGTGTGTGTGTGTCTGTAGGTGTGTGTATGTGTGTGTCTGTATGTATATGTCTGTATGTGTGTATGTGTGTGTCTGTAATTGTGTGTCTGTATGTGTGTCTGTATGTTTGTCTGTAATTGTGTGTCTGTATATGTGTGTCTGTATGTATGTGTCTGTATGTGTGTCTGTATGTGTGTGTCTGTATGTGTGTGTGTATGTGTGTGTGTATGTGTGTGTCTGTATGTATGTGTCTGTATGTGCGTCTGTATGTGTGTCTGTATGTATGTGTCTGTATGTGTGTGTGTGTCTGTAGGTGTGTGTATATGTGTGTGTCTGTATGTATGTGTCTGTATGTGTGTATGTGTGTGTCTGTAATTGTGTGTCTGTATGTGTGTCTATATGTGTGTCTGTATGTATGTGTCTGTATGTGTGTGTATATGTGTGTGGCTGTATGTATGTGTCTGTATGTGTGTCTGTATGTGTGTCTGTATGTATATATCTGTGTGTGTGTATATGTGTGTGTCTGTGTGTATGTGTCTGTATGTGTGTCTGTATGTGTGTCTGTATGTATGTGTGTGTATGTGTGTCTGTATGTGTGTGTATGTGTGTCTGTATGTGTGTGTGTCTGTAGGTGTGTGTATATATGTGTGTCTGTATGTATGTGTCTGTATGTGTGTATGTGTCTGTATGTGTGTGTGTATGTGTGTGTGTCTGTATATGTGTCTGCATGTGTGTCTGTATGTGTGTATATGTGTGTCTCTGTATGTGTATGTCTGTAATTTCTGTGTGTATATGTGTGTGTCTGTATGTGTGTCTGTATATATCTGTCTGTATGTGTATATGTGTGTGTCTGAAATTGTGAGTGTCTGTATATGTGTGTCTCTATGTGTGTGTCTGTTTGTGTGTCTGTATGTGTATGTCTGCATGTGTGTCTGTAATTGTGTGTGTCTGTATATGTGTTTGTCTGTACGTGTGTCTGTATATGTGTGTCTGAAATTGT